ACTCCAGCCTTGCAACAGAGCAAGACTCTGTCATAAATAAGTAAAAGAATTAATTAAATAGAATGTATTATATGATCCCTTAGAAGAGATATATAATTTTATATCTATATTTGCATTTAGAAAGTTGTTATTGCTGGGTGGTGTGATGAGTGTGCTTCTTTTGTTTATTTCTGGTTGGTCTACAATGAGCCTGTATTACCTGGATGGAATGATAAATGAATAGATGGTTGGATAACTAAGTAGATAAACTGATAGACACATAAATATATACAGAATATATAGGAAGATAAAGATAGAATATAAAGATTCAGTGTTTCAGGAAAAGAAAGATTTTCAGCACATTTGATATTTGAAAAGCTCTATATACTTTAAGAATATCTAATCGTCTGTAACATACTTAGAGTTCAGAAAAAAATCTATATTGTCTGTATCTATACTGATAATATATCTATAAATGTATAGATAAGTAATTTATCATGCACCATCTACCCATATGTATAAAAGTATATAAATGTATACACGGAGGATGATATAATATGTATACATTTAAAGATAGACAATGAAAAAAAATATATATAACAGAACAAATGTAGTAAATGATAATATTCAGGAAATCTGGGTAAAGGGTACATAGAAGCTCCTTGTGCTATTTGTTCAAGTTCTCTAAGTTTGAATTGTCTAAAAATAAAAAGATTTTTAAATCTAATAGATATAGATATTTTATGGGTTTTTTTTTTTTTGAGATAGAGTTTTACATTGTCACTCAGGCTGCAGTGCATTGGCACAATCTTGGCTCAATGCAACTTCCACCTCCTGGATTCAAGCAATTCTCCTGACTCAGCCTCCCGAGTAGCTGGGATTACAGGTGCCTACCACCACGCCTGGCTAATTTTTGTATTTTGAGTAGACAGGGTTTCGCCATGTTGGCCAGGCTAGTCTCGAACTCCTGACCTGAATTGCTATTCTCCTGCTTCAGTCTCCCAAAGTGCTGGGATTACAAGTGAGAGCCACCACATCCAGCTATTTTACAGTTTACCTACTTTTGTTACAGGATGCTAATTTTAAGAGACCCTCTTTCACCATTTGCTCTCCTTGACACTTGAAGCAAGAACCCCACAATCAGTTTGTGAATTTGACCTTTAAAGTGCTTATCCTAGAGTAACTTAAGATTTATTGTGTCTTTCCCAGAGCACAGAAATACATAGGAAGCCTCCCACTTCGTTTGACAAGACCAGCACAATCTCAGTAACAGAATTTGACAAACCTAGCACACAAAAAAAAATCACAGACCAATATGAATTATAAATATAGATACAAATGCGTGAAACAAAATGCTAGCTTCTTCAATTCTGGTAAAGTCTTAAAAAAACAAACCATTCATAGGTAGGATTTATTTCAAAATTATAAGTTTAGTTCAGCATGGGTAAATCAAGGTAAGTTAAAAGAGATACTCCATCTGAGTCTCTTGATAAATGGCAAAGAGGCATTTTTTTTCTTGGGCAGTACCTTTTGCAAACTAGGAACAACAGAACACAATAAAGTATGGCTGTCCAAAAAAAAAAAAACTATATGTTTTCAAGGGAAATACTCGAGGCATTACCACCGAAGCAAGAAATAATAAAATTACACCCATTGTGACTGCTATTATTCAACACTGTTCTGGTATTTCTTTCTTTCTTTTTTTTTTTTTTAATGATGAAGTCTCACTCTTTTGCCCAGACTGAAGTGCAGTGGCACGTTCCTGGTTCACTGAAACCTCCACCTCCTAGGTTCAAGCAATTCTCCTGTCTCAGCCTCCTGAGTAGCTGGGATTACAGGCATGAACCACCACCCCTAATTTTTTTTATTTTTAGTAGAGACGGGGCTTTACCATGTTGGTCAAGCTTGTCTCGAACTCCTAACTTCAAGGTGATCCACCTGACTCGTCTTCCCAAAGTGCTGGGGTTACAGGTGTGAGCCACCACGCTCAGCCTCTTCTGGTATTTCTTAACTTTATTATTAACTATCTAGGAAAGCCAAAGAATAACTAATAAGACAGTTCTAATCGAATCCAATACACATTCAAAGCTTAGTATATTATACTAGGCATTAGGGATTAGCAAACTGCCTATAAAAGTCAAAGAGTAAATATTTTAGCCTTTGGGGCCATCCAGTTTCCATGGCAACTATTTGACTGTGCCACTGGAGTGCAAAAGCAGTCATTGATAATGCATAAGTCAAAGGATGTGGCTGTGTGCCAATAAAACTTCAGGCAGTGGACTGGGTTTCACCTACTGGCCATGGTTTACTGACCATACTTTATACCACAGAAAGCAGTCGATGGGAAAAAGTTATCCTTTAAAACATCAAAAAAAATATAAAGACCTAGAAACAAACTTTTTTTTTTTTTTTTTTGAGACAGAGTTTCGCTCTTGTTGCCCAGGCTGGAATGCAATGGCTCGATCTCAGCTCACTGCAATCTCTGTCTCCCAGTTCAAGTGATTATCCTGCTTTGCCTGTTGAGTAGCTGGGAATTACAGGCACCACCATGCCCGGTTAATTTTTGTATTTTTAGTAGAGGCAGGGTTTCACTATATTAGCCATGGCTGGTCTTGAACTCCTGACCTCAGGTGATCCACCTGCCTCAGCCTCCCAAAGTGCTAGGATTACAGGCATGAGTCATCGTGCCCAGCTAAAATAAACTTTCTAAAAGGCAATTTGGCTATATGCATTAAGAATGAAATTTAGAGTACTTTTTCAACCCAATAATTCCATTTCTGGGAATATATCCCTAAGGATACATTTAGACAAAGACACAAAGATGTGTACACAAGGATGTTTATAACAGTGTTACTTATATTAAGAAAAGTTGGTCAGGCATGGTGGCTCACGCCTGTAATCCCAGTTTGGGAGACTGAGGTGGGCGGATCACTTGAGGTCAGGAGTTTGAGACTAGCCTGATCAACATGGTGAAACCCCATCTTTACTAAAAATACAAAATTAGCCAGGCATGGTGGCAGGTGCCTATAATCCCAGGTACTCAGGAGGCTGAGGCAGGAGAATTGCTTGAACCCAGGAGGTGGAGGTTGCAGTGAGTGGAGATAGTCCCATTGCACTCCAACCTGGGTGACAAGAGCAGCGAAATTCTGTCTCAAAAAAGAAAGAAAACAAATTATTTACTACTCACATAATCTATGTCTATAAGGAATGCATAGTTTCTGAAAACAAGTTACAGAGTAGCATGCATAATATCAGCTAATTTTTTAAAAATATAGGTGTATATATGAAGTTACACACATGGGCCCACACATGCAACAAAACTTGGAAAGAAATATCCACAATCGCTTTATTAGCAGTTATTTCCTGGGGTGGATTTATGAGCAACTTTTCTTCTAATTTTTGCTCTTTTATTATTTCTTCAATGGAGCTGGTAAATAAAATTTTCAGTTTTTAAAAGGAAGTTAGAAAATACAAAAACCCTGTGCTAAATAATTCACTCACTTTTCTATTAATTTTGAAGGAGCCTGTAGACAGTATCCTCCTCAAACAAAGCACATTGATACTGATTTTAATGTTCACACTAAAGTTCCAGACATCCCTGGAAAGTTATTTAAGTTATCGTTAACCACTACACGTTCTGAAGATAAAATCTTGGGGTTATAACTAAGGTAAAAGGAGCATATGTCTGGAAATCTTGTATTTTCTTTTCCTTCAGTAATGTTTCTGCATGCATGACTATGCATGTGTGTGCATACACATATGTGTGCACATCTGTCTACTGTCTACTGAGTAAGGAAAGCCAGAGAAGGGAAACAGGAAATGGACAGAAATGGTAAATGAAAGACCAACATGAATTAATGTCCTACAGGGAAATAAGTATGAGTAAACTCACTCTTCACGGCCTTATTAATGATTTTATAGTATGAGAATCTTGCCTGTTGGGTTAGGAGAAAACCCCTGACATTCCTGTAATTCTCATTTATAATTTACCAAGACTAAATTTAGGTCTCCTAATAGAAAATTTAAGTCCATGTGATTTATATCTAGTTGTGAAATTTAAGCACATTTTTCCTTACAATTGACAGCAGGTATCTATTTATTTTGCCGAGGGCATCACTTGTAAAATGATACATATTTAAGTTTCATGTACTTAAAATCTTGGGAAAATGTAAATGGGAAGGAAAAATTATAACTTCTCAGGAATTTTTGGAGGTGCTACTGAATGCAAGTTACATGGTGTAACTAACACAGTTGTCAAAAATAGCGCCCCCCAAAATACTATTTTTGCCTTCTCAAAACAATTACCTTACCTGGCTTTGAAATCCTCCTACTTCCCTCCTGAAGTGGTCTTCACCAATAACCTAGTGTAAAAATTAGATCCAATACAAACAGAATATCCTCCAGTAACAGACATTTCCAACTCTGGCGGGGGGTGGGGGGCAGGGGGATGCATTTGAGCACATATGCGTGTGCGCATGCACGTGTGAGTCTGTGTGTGTGAGCTTGTCATTGCTAGAGTGGCCATGGGAGAAAAGAATCTCCCTAGAGCCAACTTAGAAGTTAATAGGAACGATATGACCACCACAAGGTCATCCAGAGTTCTCAAAAGTGATGTCAAAAGATGATGAGGTGTTAAGTACATTTTGTAAGCCATGAAAATCCAGGACACAATAAGCAAGAAATGAAGTTTGCTCTGAATACAACAGACAAATGAGTATATTGATATAATTGTTTATTAACTATTCCTTTGCTTCCAATCTCAGGCCAAATGCTCTTTATCCTTTGGTAGTGGAATTTACAATTAGCAAACATGAACATAACAACCTACATTAGTCTTATGTTGAGATCTGGGAGACCAGAATTCTGCAGACTTTCCTTTCAACCTTTCATTTTCAAAATTCTTGGAAATGAATTAAGCATAGCTAAAAGTTGGGAAGTCATGCTTCAAATCCCAAACTATGTTTTGCCTGTCAAATATTGCACTCTGTAAAGTGTATCACCAAACCCCAGTAGAAACTTACCCTTCAACTTGAGGTCAACATTATGTCTTAGCCAAGGATAAACCCCATAGCTTGGCATATCTTCGGGAATTGGATTATTGCTTATCCAGCCATCACAAGCAAACCGGAAGAAATTATCACAAGGATCCACAGACAGATTTACTTTACTTAAGATGGCAGCAGCTATTTAGAAAGAAAATACACAGAATTAATAAGCACTGAACGTTGTGTACTGTTCTTTTCCAAATTAAACAATGATTTCATATCAACCAGTTTCCAAGCCTTGGCATTTATATATTCCCTTAAATAACTCTTTGAATCTACCTCACTATATGAAATGACTATATTCAAAGTGAATGGATAGGCCAGGCATGGTGGCTCACACCTGTAATCCCAGCACTTTGGGAGGCTGAGGCAGGTGGATCACCTGAGATGAGGAGGAGTTCAAGACCAGCCTGGCCAACATGGTGACATCCCATCTCTACTAAAAATATAGAAATTAGCCAGATATGGTGGTGCACACCTGTAATCCCAGGTACTCGGAGGCTGAGGCAAGAGAATCGCTTTAACCCAGGAGATGGAGGTTGCAGGGAGCCAATATCGTACCACTGCAGTCCAGCTTGGGGTGACAAAGTGAACTGTCTCTCAAAAATAAAATGAATGGATAAAAGTTTGGTGGTATTATTGTTACCAGTTTTTGCAGGATCATCCCTAACATCTGTGGGGTATAGGACAAGGATACAAATTGAGTGTGTGGTCAATCACTTGCAAAGATAACTGACTCTTTCTTCCATCCTGCTTGTCCTTCTGCAAAGTGACTTGCTGCTCTTCCCATCAAGTGGTAGAGTCTATTTCCCCTGCCTTGAATTTGGACTGACCTTGTCATTTGCTTTGACCAACAGAATTGGCAGAACTTTCTGTGAGTTTCAAAGCTAAGCCTTAAGAGGCCTTGCAACTTCTATATTAACTCCCTTTAAATGAAACCCTGAAGCCGCTCTTGAAGCAGCCTCCTGGAGGACAAGAGGCCACATAGAGAAGAACCAAACCAGAACATTTGCCAGACATTGACCAAGGCCATCATTCACCTTCCAGTCCAGGCACCCCTCTAGCTGAATGCAGCTGCACAAATGAGCTGAGGCAAAAATCAGCAGAGAAACCATCCACCAAACCCAGCAAATCATGAGAAATATTAAATCATTTCTGTTCCAGGCTGCTATGGTCTCGGTGGTTTACCTCACAGTGAAGGCTAATGGAAACAGAGGTCCATATGTAAATATTTAAAAGTTATATTTATAATATACTTTCAAACTCTTGAGCTCCTTGATATTCAGTGTAGCTCTCAGAGAAATAAAGCCCTGGAAGAGGCCCACACAGACCCTGGAAGGAAGCTTGGGGCCATCAGGCAGGGAATTCTGAGGTGTAGAAGGAGAGAGCTGCCTACTTGGCTCCACAAACCCCTTGACTGGAGGAGATGCACGGCCAGAGGAGGGCCAAAGTAGGGTATTCTAAATGAGGGATCCAGGTCTAGGGGTAGAACTGAGTATGTGTATAAGTTAATAGAAAGACACAATCAACTGATCTACCATTTTTTCCCTCTTTCATAAACCCATACACAATTACATACAGAAGACAGCCCATAGGTAGGAGACATGTGCATAAATATGTAATCGTGAGCTTTAAAAGAAAACCCTTCATTACAAAATGAGAAGTTTCCAAAATTCCCAATACTGAACAACGCTCTTCCAACAGCCATGCAATTGCCGGCTACCACTCTAGCACAAAGATACGCACCAACTGATTTTTTTAAAAAGCAGTCAATATTTTAATGACATTAGAAAGATGACATTCTGAGCAATTTTCATACTTTAAATAACGCCAGTACATATTTTTGTTTTGAAGTAATGAAAACCCAATGAGATTTCAGCTAAATATGAATGAACTGCCCCCAAAAAGTATAATCTGTGTAAATTTAGATACATACCTTACAGTTTGGTTACATGTGTAGCTCCTCCAGGTTTAAAAATAAGACTAGATATTTCTCTAGGCTATACTTTTTTTTTTGAGACAGAGTCTTGCTTTGTCACCAAGTACCAGGCTGGAGTGCAGTGGCACAATCTGGGCTCATTGCAACCTCCACCTCCCGAGTTCAAGCAATTCTCCTGCCTCAGCCTCCCAAGTAGCTGCGACTACAGGCGCATGCCACCACGCCCAGTTAATTTTTGTATTTTTTTAGTAGAGACGAGTTTCACTATGTTGGCCAGGATGCTCTCGATCTCTTGACCTCATGATCTGCCTGCCTCGGCCTCCTAAAGTGCTGGGATTACAGGCGTGAGCCACTGCGCCCAGTCTATATTTTCTACAAAAATTTCAAACAGCTTTTTGTCTCCATTAAATGAATATAAAAATATTCTAATTTCTATAGGCCCTCAAAATCCCCACCATTTTCAAACCTCCCCCAACCTCACTCACAACACAAAAGAAAAAAAAATACTAGCAAAAACTTGGTTTAGAGGCCAAACACTGTCGCTCACGCCTGTAATCCCAGCATTGGGAGTCTGAGGCGGGCAGATTGCTTGAGCCCAGGAGTTCGAGACCAGCCTGGGTAACATGGCAAAACCCAGCCTCTACAAAAAAAAAAAAAAAAAAAAGAGGGCTTAGAAGTTTGATAAATTTCAAATTTGCTTAACATTTTTGTGATTCAGAACTAGCATCAGTTGCCTCTAATTATATTTTTACTTCCTGCAACTATTTCATCATTAATATCTAATGTGCTAGGACATAACGAAATCTTTCTTTTGGTTGGTATTTATAGTTACTGCATGCAGCCACAGAATGAATCTGCTATGTGACACCTCAGAGACATGAATCACACGTCTCAGTCCCACACATTTACAGTCACACAGGGGAGCCCTCACACGCATTTTTACTCAATAAGTGCACTGTTTTCTAGCCTCCTTCTCAAACTTTCCCTGCCCGCAACCCTCAAATGTATCCTCTCCATCTCGCCAGTATTCTTGCAGGTAACTAGAAAAACTGCAAGGTCAGCTCTGACCTTGGCTCTGATACAAAAGTTGGGGAATACATCACTCACACTGAATTTGGAAAGAAGCTTGCTGAGTGAGAAAACTCTAGCTTCAGCCTCCCAATTCATCATTCACAATTCACAGCCGGGGCACAGGGCTACACTTTCTGCAGGGGAACTGTGACTTCAAATTGCAAGGGACCATAGTTGTCAAGACACAAAAACTCCTTTTCCCCCTACTCAGCTCCATGGAGAAAACCCAGAGTCTTGTTTTAATAAAAAAATTATGAAGATTAAGAAAATCTGTGAAAGCTCAGGCTACATACTCTTCCAAGTCATCGTATATAAGGTTAGTTGTCACAGTCTTCAGCTGGTGTTTATGTGACACAAGTGGAGGCACTCTACCCAAATACCAGCCTCTGTTTTTAGATTTAATCAAGGATGAAGGCAGAAAGTAGTAATTAAAATAATTAACAATAACACGGGCTGGGCGAGGTGGCTCACGCCTATAATCCAACACTTTCGGAGGCCAAGGCGGGCGGATCACTTGAGGTCAGGAATTCGAGACCAGCCTGATCAACATGGAGAAACCTCATCTCTAATAAAAATAAAAATTAGCCAGGCATGGTGGCACATGCCTGTAATCCCAGCTACTGGGGAGGTTGAGGCAGGAGAATTGATTGAACCCAGGAGGCGGAGGTTGTGGTGAGCGAAGTTCACACCATTACACTCCAGCCTGGGTAACAAGAGTGAAACTCTGTCTCAAAGAATAAATAATAATAAAATCACCAATACTAAGTATTTCCTTTTTGCCGGGGACTATGCTAAGCCCTTTTTAAGCAATATGGCATCGCACAAACTCTAGAGTCAGAACGCTTCTGTTTGAATAAGAGAAACACCCTTGCCCTTGCTAAGTCACCTTAGGCAGGTTATTTAACCTGTGTCTCAGTTTCCTCACCTGAAAATGGGGATAATAATAGCACCCCATAGAGTCATTATGCAATTAAATGAGTAAATGTAAAGTGCTTAGAACAGTGGTTGGGCACATTACCATATAAATGGAGGATGCCCAGTGAAGTTTGAATTACTGATAAACAACCACCTTTTAGAATAAGTATGTAGCAAATATTGCATGGGACATACACCAAAAGTAGTCATTCCATATCTGCAATTCAAATTTCACTGAGCATCACATACGTATGTATTTAGCTAAATCTGTGAACTATAATTCCATCTGAAACTCTTGAGGCTAGATATGTTTCAGACCTCATAGATTTTTCAGATTTTAGAAAAGAAATACATTGCATATAACCACAGATCACATAATATTTCAGCAACAGCAAGAGGGGCAGGCCTGAAGCAAGTGCATTAGTAGTTCTATAGGGAAACATATGCATATTCTTTTAAGTAGGATAAACCAAGTCTGAAGCAGCCTCCCCTGAGTTAAGATCCAATTTCACCCTCAAAGAAATTGAGATCAGGCCCCATCTTGCCAACTGAGAGTTACAATGTTTTCTGGGTTTGGGGCTACGAATCAGCATTGTGGGCTGGGCACGGTGGCTCACGCCTGTAATCCCAGCACTTTGGAAGGCCAAGGCAGGTGGATCACCTGAGGTTAGGAGTTTAAGACCAGCCTGACCAACATGGAAAAATCTCGTGTCTACTAAAAATACAAAATTAGCTGGGTGTGGTGGCGCATGCCTGTAATCCCAGCTACTCAGGAGGCTGAGGCAGAATTGCTTGAAGCTGGGAGGCAGAGATTGCGGTGAGTGGAGATGGCGCCACTGCACTCCAGCCTGGGCAATAAGAGCGAAACTTCGTCTTAAAAACAAAACAAAATCAGCATTGTGAACTTAGAATACTGCCACTACCATTATTATTTTCTTCTTTCTCTTTATTTTATTTATTTATTTATTTTTGAGATGCAGTCTCACTCTGTCGCCCAGGCCGAACTGCAACCTCCACCTCAGGGCTCAAGCGCATGTTCAACCTGCAATCTCAGCTTACTTCAACCTCCACCTCCCAAGTAGTTGGGATTATAGGCATGTGCCACCACTCCCAGCTAATTTTTGTAATTTTAGTAGAGACAGGGTTTCACCATGTTGGCCAGACTGATCTTAAATTCCTGGCCTCAAGTGATCCGGCCTGCCTCGGCCTCCCAAAATGCTGGGATTGCAGGCGTGAGCCACCATGCCCAGCCCATTATTATTTTCTTTTATTCTCACACTTAAGTATAAGTAAAAACTGTTATTCCCATTTTACACATGGTGAGACTGAGGCTTAGAGAGGCTATTTATTTTGCCCAGGATCATGTGGCTTGTAAATAGTTAGATCATGCTTCAAACCTAGTTAGCCTGTCTGCCCTTGTCGGTGATATAAGCATGCATGCCCTTTCCTTGTTTCTTTGCATACTTTGTACGGCTCTTATTTTGAAAGAGGGATTACAATAAGAGGACACAGAGGAGAGGAGAGTTATGGAGAGGAGGCATCTCAGAAATGGTTGGCACCTGCTCAGAAATGGTCCAGAAGGCGATCAACACTCACCTCTTCCGAACTTTCAGCATGCATGCCCACACACAGCCTCTTGTTCAAGGCCCTGACTTGGCCACAATTCTCCTGACACATATACTCAGCAGCTGTTCTGCAGACCCCTGAGCACACTGAGGCTCACATTACACTCAAGAAAACTGTCTTTTGTGAGTCTTTCACTACAGAAACGGCAAAATCAATGTTTTTGTTTTTCCAACAAATGTGAAAATTAAAAACAGGACAGCGAGGGAAAACACACTCGCCGGCAGGAGGCAACCTCTTGAATGTCAGTCTATAGGTTTTAGTCTGGCATTATGATTCATAATCCTGCACTACAACTCACAAAATAAGTGGCCCTCCATACCAAAAAGTGTTCTAACTCAAGTTGAAAATTTATGAGCTCAAAAATTCCCATTTCACACATCTGCAAGAACCCTACCACAGCCAAAGCACCAGGTGACATCAACTCTAAAACCTCCCCTAATGGATCCACCCTACTCCACGACATCCTCTCACCACTGGAGGAAAACCCCAGGTCAACAACTCAATCCTGGAAGAGGAAAGGGCCTGGGAGTTCCCAAATTGTTTCAGGGTCTTGCCTGGCATGGCCCCATATCACCAAGGAAAAGATGGAAAGGAGCCAGACATAGACATGAAGCCCAGCTCTGCTAACTCAGGACGTGACCCTGGGCAGTTGTTTAGCCTCTAGAAGCCTCCATTTCCTCGTCGGCAAGTGAGGCTGGTGATAACACCAACTTCATAGGGGGTCTCATGAAGGTTTTATGAGATGGTGCCTATAAGTCACCTAACATACAGCCTAGTTAAAAAATACACATAATATTGATCACTCAAGAATGGAACAAAAGGCCAGGCACCGTGGCTCACGCCTGTAATCCCAGCACTTTGGGAGGTCGAGGCATGTGGATCACAAGGTCAGGAGTTCGAGAACAGTTTGACCAACATGGTGAAACCCCGTCTCTACTAAAAATACAAAAATTAGCCCGGTATGGTGGCAGGTGCCTGTAATCCCATCTACTCAGGAGGCTGAGGCAGGAGAATCACTTGAACCCAGGAGGCGGAGGTTGTGATGAGCTGAGATCCTGCCATTGCACTCCAGCCTGGGCAGCAAGAGCAAAACTCCATCTCAAAAAAAAAGAAAAAAAAAAAAAAAAAAAAAGAATTCTACTAATGTTATTACCTAACTCACTACCCTTGTATAAGGTCTCAGAGTTTACAAGCTCTTTCACTTTCCCATCTCAATAAACACCACCACCCAACCATCACCAAAAATATAAGCATCATCCCCAATTGTCTGCTTTTGCTCACAGCCCACATCGAATCCCTCATTAGACCCTCTATCTCCTAAACCTTCCCCCATTCTCCCTCTACATCTCTTGAATTCAAGACAGCATCGCCTGTTACCTGGCGTATGGAAATAACCCGTCTACCTGGGCCACCTTCTTCTATTCTTGCTCACTATAGTCTCTTCTCCATTAAGAAAAGCTCCCTCTAATGGAGCTCTCCACCAAGACACAGCTTTTAAATGCTCATAAAATGTACTCCCTTTCATAAAAGCCTCCAGAGGCTTTTTAGCCCACTTAAGGAAAGCCCAAACTCACCAGCACTTGGGACCCCCATTGACTCCCCATCACTAGCACCTCACCTAGCAAGCTCTTCCTGTTCCTCAAGTCCACCAAGTTCAAGCTTCTGTGTGCTTTTTGCCCCACCTGTTTCCCCCACCCAGAAAGCCCCTGCCTCAGTCTTCACACAGCAGTTCCCTTCTCATCATTCAAAGGTCACCTTCAAGGTCATGGCCCCCAGCTTTTCATTCTAGCCTCCTGTCCCTTGCTATCACATTATTCTATTTTAATATTTCAATTTTCTCTATAACATGTTCCACTGACTGATAGTTTTCTCTTTTAGAGATGGGGATCTCACTAATTTGCCCAGGCTGGCCTCCAACTCCAGGGCTCAAGCCTCAGCCTCCCAAGTGGCTAGAACTAAAGGTTCGTGTCACCACGCCCAGTTTGATAATTTTCTTGTTGCATAAATTGCCTTATTGTCTTTCTTCCCATATCTGATTCACTGCTCTGTTTCCAAAACTTAACTCCGTATCTGGTATTCAATAAATATTTGGTGAATTGTTCATTAACCTCTTCTCTTAAGGCCAAGAAGAGGTCAAAGGGCCACATGCTCAACTTGTTTGATGACTTTCATTTTGGAAAAAGGAAAACAGTGTCCCTGCCCACTTAAAGAGTGAAGGTGAGGGCTAAAATCTTGCTCCCTCAAATCTAGGCCCTAACAATGATGTAAGAGGGAAATCTAATAGCTGTGTGTGAGACCCCTAGGTGGCCCCACTTTCGGTGTCCTAACCAAAAATTACAGAGTACTTTGACCATTCTGTGACCCAGTAAGCTGCAAGTTTGTTTTATTTTTTGAAAGAGGTTCCCTCTGTCACCCAGGCTGGAGTGCAGTGGCGTGATCTCGGCTCACCGCAACCTCCACCTCCTGGGCTCAAGCAATTCTCATGCCTCCGCCTCCCGAGTAGCTGAGATTATAAGCATGAGCCACTACGCCTGGATAATTCCAGCTACAAGTTTTTCCCAGCAGGCTTAGGCCCAAACTGGACCCTTGAACATTCCCAGGCACTGGTAAAGGTATCTAGGTTGATGCACAAAACTTTCAAAGAAACCAGTGCTGGCTCTGATCCAAATTCCTTTAACCCTCGAAGTCTCCCACACCCTAACGCCCTGACTGCAGATATACCTAACTAGAACACTCATTTTCTCTCACTGTCTGAGGATACACTGCAGCACTTCTATGTAAATTGCCATAATAAATGCTTTGGACTGACTGGCCACCCTGGATTTAATGCTTCTTTTTAATTTATTTATTTTCCTTTAGGTGCATACTATATCTGGCATTTCTCCCCGTGTTATCCCTCCCCACCCCCCACTGTCTCTCGTAATGCTTCTTTCTTTAGAATCCTAACTGACCCCATCTTGGGATGGTTTGGGGTACTCCCTCCTGGGAAGTTTCTGTCGCTGCTTTTGGGGCAACTCCAGCCACAAGTTCGATGGGGTAAGACAGTGTGGAAAACTGAGGCAACTTCAAGCCCTCATCTTCACCTTGGGGTACCCACTGATAACACAGACTGGTCACTTCAAGAGAAGTTTGACTTGCAATGTGGAACAGAAAAAAAAGGGATTCCCGGCTGGCACAGTGGCTCACACTTGTAATGCCAGCAGTTTGGCAGGCAGAGGCGGGCGGATCACGAGGTCGGGAGTTTAAGACCAGCCTGGCCAACATCGTGAAACTCCATCTCCACTAAAAACACAAAACTTAGCCGGGTGTGATGACAGGCACCTGTAAGCCCAGCTACTTGGGAGGCTGAGGCACAAGAATCACTGGGAGGCGAAGGTTGCAGTGAACTGAGATGGCACCAGCCTGGGCAACAGAGTGAGACTGCATCTCAATTTAGAAAAAGAAAAAAAAAATTCCCACTGACAATGGAAGCATGATTTATTTACAAAGGAGCCTTGCTTAGAGGCAGGCAAGTCTGACCCACAGACCAGAAATTATACAATGGCTTAAGGTAAGGAGGAATCTATAGCCAGCGGAGCCATAGAAAGACCAGTGTTCTCTGCCTGTGGGTCTTAAGATAAGCCATTCAGCCTTCCAAGCCTCTTTCTGATTTCCTTGTAACAACGCTTAGAATACTACAGCTGTTTTTTTGCAAGGAAAAAGAAAACAGGAAACCTAAGCTCCACTATTTCACACCAAAACTTGAAAGTAAACTTAAAATTCTTCAAAATTGCATTTCGTGCTTGGTAAACCTCAAGCAAACAGAATACTAAAAATACCACCTGTTTTCTCTTCCACTCCCCAAGGTACCATAATTATAACTTGACACAGGATGGAAAACTGTGACTTACCAGCTTCGACGCATTCTGGCTTCAGGCAGTACTCCTGTTTAGCGTGGAGACTTAAGAATCCTTGACTCACTGAAAAAACAGACCAAAATAAATGGCTGACTCGTAGCAGACCACCATCGAGTAAACCACCCTTGGAGACATACGCAAGACATTTGATATCAGTTCATCCTTCTCAGTGTTGATGCAGTATTCAAAAGCCCAGTTGGTTCAATGTCACAAAACCAAACTCTAGTTGCTAGCTCAATAACTAACTTTGCTAAGACTGTGGGTTGCTTTGAAACTCAGTTTCTCTCCTCTGTAAGATAAGTAAGCATAACCAGATCAGTGCGCCTAAGAGCATGGTCTCTAGAGCAGCAGCTGCTGCTGCTGCTGCACCTGGGAGCTTGTTAGAAAGCCACTCCAAATCTTGACTCAGAAACGCTGGGATTGGGGCCCAGCCATCTGCGGTTTAACAAGCCCCCCAGGTGACTCGGATACATGCTCAAACACGAGCACCACTGGTCCAGATAATCTCTAAAGTCACTTCAACGTCCTATTATCTGTGGTTTAAGTCTCATACTTTCACTCTACTGGTTGTAACTCCATGCCCATATTCAAGATGGGAAAACTGAAACTTTTAAACTACGTCATTTGGAGCCAATCAGAGTGGAAATAGAAAGCTAGCATGTCTGGCTTTTAGAGTTCTGGATCTTATCTAAACCATCCACACAGACACGGACCAAAAAAGGGGTAGGGGTAAGGAACGTACTGAACACATCTCAATCACCTGTTATAGCAACCGTTATTGTCCGCCTGCTCTCAGCCCCACAAACCCTCCAGCCACCAGGCCCAGCTTAGCTACCAGACATTTGCAACTTTGTGGACCAAGCTTCCAGCTACTTCTTCCTTCCCCCTCCCCCCAAAAAGTCTAAAATTGAAATAGCTTTTCACCAGTGGTTTATTGTCCCCATCTGGCTGGCAACATTATCTAAATAGATTTCTGCTGAAGTACAGAAGGGTGCCCAATTTGTCAACTCCAGGTAGCACCTGGGCATTAGCAGATGTGAATTTAAGATTTCAGAAATATCTGTGGTAGCTGAGGAAATTCTGGGGAGTTCATTCTTGCTGTCCTCCGTGAGCAGAAACAACAAATCATCTGGAGATATGGCCACGGTGAAAGGGATGGTGGGAGGCGAATGGGGACCAAGGCTCTTTGTGGCAGGATCAGAAAGCTTGGCAGTACCTATTATTTCTGCTAGAGATGGAAGACCTGTAGATGACTAGCCAGTGTAGCGAGTTTTTAGTATTTATTAACCCACGCTCTAAATGGAGCCTGCTTTTTCTTTGTTCTTTTCTCTGCTGCCGTCCTCTAGCCTCTTTGCATGTGTTACATTATAGATTCAAAAAAACTGCCTACGGAACATCTCAGGCCTATTGTTAAGAAAACACACCTTAGCAAAAAGAACCACGGGGAATTTTCCCCATCAGTCAGTTTTCATATGTTGACCTAATGTTCTTTAGTGAGCATGTGTTCTTTTTTATTATGTAAAATAAGCTTTATTGTAAACAATAATATTTTTATAATTCTGGACAATACCTTCTTGATCCTAGCCTTATTTTAAAAAACAAAAGAGCTAATAAATCATTATTGAAAGACTTATTCCTTTCATGAGAAGTAATTCTTGACCCAAACCTCAAGGAAGAAATAAATCAAGTATCTTTATCTAACAATGAATAGAATGAATGTTTTAAATATAATTAATTAGGCTGGGCGTGGTGGCTCAGGCCTGTATTCTCACCACTTTGGGAGGCCAAGGCAGGAAGATCACCTGAGGTCAGGAGTTCGAGACCAGTCTGGCCAACATGGTGAAACCCCATCTCTACTTAAAAATACAAAAATTAGCTGGGCGTGGTGGTGCATGCCCATAATCTCAGCTACTCAGGAGGCTGAGGCAGGAGAATTGCTTGAACCCAGGAGGCAGAGGTTGTAGTAAGCCAAGATTGCACCATTGCACTCCAGCCTGGGTGACAGAGTGAGACTCCATCTCAAAAAAACAAAACAAAACAAATACATATATATATATATATAATAAATTGGGACACTGAGAGACCTAACCCTTCTTCAAGGAAGACCATTATCTCCATGGATGGGATTATTTTAAAATCCAGCAAATAAATGAGAATCAACAAGCCCAGATAATGTGAAGGTGTAAGTGAATGAAATAGAGACAATAAAGTAATTTTTTCTTTTTGCAATGGAGTTTCGCTCTTATTGCCCAGGCTGCAGTGCAATGGCACAATCTCAGCTCACTGCAATCTCTGCCTCCTGAGTTCAATCAGTTCTCCTGCCTCAGCCTCCCGAGTAGCTGGGATTATAGGCATACCCCACCATGCCCTGCTAATTTTGTATTTTTAGTAGAGACGGTGGTTTTTCCATGTTAGTCAGGCTGGTCTTGAACCTCCAAACCTCAGGTGATCTTGAGCCTCCCATCTCGGCCTCCCCAAAGTGCTGGGATTACAGGCATGAGCCACCGTGCCCGGCCAAGAAAATATTTTGATATAAAAGTTAAGATGTTACTTTTGAATGGTTAGGAGCTTTAAAAGGTACATGTAAATCGCAGTTTGGTTTCTCATCGTAGATTTCTCCATAACCAGAGGAAATGCCCTCAGGATACAGGGGAGTCATCCACAGATCAAGAGCATAAGAATGGCCAGAAAGCAGGGGTCAGCCACTATGGCCCATAGGCCAAATCCACTGCCTGTTTCTGTACGGCCCATTGAGCTATGCATGGCTTTACATTTTTTTCATGGTTGGGAAGAAGAAAAAGAAAAATAATATTTCATGATACATGAAAAGTATATAAAATTGCAATTTCAGTGTCTAGAAATCAGATTTGCTTGGCACACAGCCATGCCCATTTGTGTACATATTGTCTATGGCTGCTTTCGTGCAATGACAACAGAACTGAGTCGTTGCAACAGAGGCCGTATGGCCCACAGAGTCGAAAATATTTACTATCTGGCCCTTGACAGAAGTTTGCCGGCCACTGCATCTAAGAAACAGATTGTGGGAGGAAGGAGAAGGGAAGGAGAAGAAGAAAGGACACTTGAAAATAAATAAACTGGTTGCAGGCAAATATGTTTTCCATTCTAGTGCTCTGTAGCTTCTCTGAAGCCACCGCAAGGCCACTGGCAACCACTCTTACTGTAGAAGCAATAAGGTTTCGAAGACAGACTATCCTGGAGCCTCAGATAAAAGAAGAGTTAGTAAGATGGGATGCTGGAAATTGTAGGCATGTAAGTGAACGAGGACCCGCAGAGAAACATACCACAAGTCAACCAGGAAGCCCTTGAAGAGGAAAACGACCCTAACTAAAATATTGTCACGAAGAGCATTGCCGAGTAGGCTCCTGGAGTCTTTCAGACAAGCACTTTGACTAGGTACAGAGTGGAGGTGGGTGGCAGAGCCAAGGGGAGGGACGGGGATGGGGTGAAGGGGGGATTCTAAAATAGTGCAGAAATATTTGACAAAAAGAAGTGTCCCTGAATGTATACATCGTAATAGATGTGGCCACCTGAAGCAATGCTTCTTAAACCTGTATTTGCAAACAATCCTTGGGGTCTTGTGAAATGCAGACTGTGAATCAGCAGGTCTAGGGTGTCGCTCAAGCTCCCCAGTGATAGTGATGCTGCCGGTCCACAGACCCCATTTTGAGAAGCAAAGATGTTGAGGCCACAGCCTTCATCTGCCCTTATTCTGTAACATCATTTGAGCTCCTCTTAGAGAGTCAAGGTGAGAGCCAGGTTACAGGGCATGCTGGGAAGTTCTCTTTCATATTTTACGCAGTCCTCCTTATCCATAATAGCAGTGCCTGGCTTGATGAATTTTACTTTGCTCTAAAAACACTGGCACTGTTTCCTAAGAATAATTTTCTCTGATAGAACAAAGATTTGCTGCCATGGAGAATCTTTCAATGAATATGCCATGGCCTTGGGATATAATCATAAAAGCGGAGTTTTGTAAAAGTTTCATGTAGTGGTAATACCATTAGAAAGAGTACATATTTTTACATAAACAATAATTATTGGATTTTTAAGTTTGGGAGGGTTTGCAAAACCTAACCTTGCAGTCACGTTCCAGATAGCACATAGTCTTTCAGCTTGCCCACAGGATTTTTCCTCTCATTTTGAATTTCAGCAGAGGGACATTTGTCTACACCTAAGTGCTGAGAAATCTCAAGAGTTTTCAAGAGCCACAGATTCAGTTGCAGGAGTATGAGATTTAGGTTTACCAGAAAGCAAATAAATCCATCTGATTTCCTACATCTTCAGCCACAGAAAACATGGAAAGATGATTTGCTCATTTTAGCAGAGTTTTCGACCAAACAACCCTAACTGTTTTAAAGTTTAATTACTGGTTTACCCCTGCCAAAATAAACATGTCCTCCTGCAATCCTGTATATGTCAAGGAATGTTTCCAGGTTTGCTACATTTCAACTGCACCTCGAATCTCCTCATTCCTACATAACATTCAGGCTAATGAAGTATTCTGGGCTGTATGAGAAAAATTAAAATGGTAATAGTCAAGGGTTCAGAAAGCCTGGAGTTTTTAGAAAATCCCTCCCTCCTTCCCAAGATATTTGATTCTTTTCATAGGAATACATTCTATCATCCTATATACTCTCTGGGTACATCATTCTCACCAAGAGTCATTAAAATAATTGAATCACAATATCTTTAAAATCTTGGGGGGAAACCTCTGTTTTCCTTCATATTCATTTATAAATCAAACCGCATCTCATCAGAGTCACTGGATAAGAAAGAATATCATTAAAAGTGTACTTTAAAGGACTGATTTGTGTTTTGTGAATTACATTTCATGATTCGTTCAGGCAAACATTAATAAAAGTCAAATGGAAAGAAACTCCAGCATAGTTTTCATCAAATATAAATGAAACTATGTGACTATGAATTCATAAACACTAATTTTGCTAAATGTACCACATAAAAATTTTTCTGCCTAATGCAACAGAATCAGCCAGCCACTCGAAGCCATACACCCACTTTGCCTTCTGGACTATACATTTGGTACTTGGGTGTATTTATATATTTAGGCTCCTTAAAAAAGGCTTCTTTTTCATTTGCATATTTGATAGAAACTAAAGATGCACCACCTACGAACACAGGCAAACAGCCATGTACCCGTGTTATGACAACTTTTGCTACAATAAAGCACAAGGAAACGTCTCAGCACACACCCAGTTCCCCCGGCCTCCTGCACTCCACTTACCTAGAAGAGGATCGTACCCAGAACAAGGGTGCCACCGACAACACGGCCAGGGCAATTCGAACGCCTCTGTTGGCCTTCTTTCCAGTCTCCACGCTGCTCCCTGTTTCTGCTTCCATCAGAAGGGCCGCAGAGAACACACGAGAAGAAAGTCACTTTTCGTGGTTTGGTGGCTGGTCTCAAGACCGAGGTGTTGACATCCAAGGCTCTTTTGCTCTTCTACTAATGGACAGCTTAAAAAACTCCCGTCTGGAAATCTCCCCTTGCCACCCTTTCTCAAATAATTCTTCACAAATGAAAATTATAAAATCCAAAATATTGGTTGCCTTGGCTTTCCCCCTGACTAGACAAAACAAACAGTGTTGCTTTATCTTGGTGCTCTCCCTCAGCAAAGTCCCTCTCAACCGATTGTTTGGCAGGCTCTTCTCTCAAGCGTTCAGAGTATACATGTTTTAGTATGTTGCTGAACAGATGTTTTAGCTATTTAAATGTATAGTCACTTGGGGAGGAATAAAACAATTGTTTTACCAAAACTGGATTCTCCTGAAACTTCCCCAAATCACGATAAGTTAGGTGGCCAGGATTCACCGGACCCACTTCAAGATCTCAATTAATCATGTAATTCTGTTGCAAGAATCATTCTGCTTGCCTGAATTGTCTTCATCAAAGATATTCTTTCAGTGTGTGAGTCCCTTTTTAAAGCCTTCTAAGAGTTCCTAGGATATCCTGGAGCATTTTATTTTAGGAACTTTGTGTATGACAGCATGTGCCAAAAATCAGTCATAGTCCAGTGCAGAGCAAAGTAGCAATTAAGACAACCTACAGAGGCTGATGGTTTGAACTGGAACTTTTTGTTAAAGCAAGGAGAAAAAGCACTTCCTCTTTGTGGTACTGAGAATTGTACACACACACACACATACAAGTGCGTGAATTAAGTTTATTAGGAACTACAAAAGATATGATGAGAGATTTTTTTTCCTTGCATGGTTTTGATGAAAAATGCACCCAGGCGTTTTGTCTGCCACTCCCACTGAGGCAGCCATTCATTAGGATGTTTTTGTGTTTACATGAAGTGTCCACTTCAGCAGATTCCCCAGAATGAATTCAAAGGCAATTGGTTTCAGGCCGGGCACGGTGGCCCACACCTGTAATTCCAGCACTTTGGGAGGCTGAGGCAGGCAGATTGCTTGAGGCCAGGAGTTCGAGACCAGCCTGGCCAACAAGGCGAAACCCCGTTCGTACTAAAAATACAAAAATTAGCCAGGCGTGTTGCCGAGCACCTGTAGTCCCAGCTACTCAGGAGGCAGAGGTGGGAGAATCGCTGAAGCCTGGGAGGTGAGGTTGCAGTGAGTCGAGATCGTGCCACTGCACTCCAGCCTCGGCGACAGAGAGAAAGAGAGAGACCCTGTCTCAAAAATAAACAAACAAAAACAAAGGCAATTAATTTCACTGGAAAGACCGATGAATGACTGGGTCTTTGATTTTTTTTTATCATGATAATGGTTTAAATGATAAAAATGTGCTTTCTTCATGGGGAAGGGCAACTGATATTCCAATGCTACCACGGAAATGATATAGACTTTATTATCCACAGATACAGATACCGTTAATTCACAACACAATTACTACCTACCTGCTTTTGTTTTACCAGAGGTCATAGGGCAGTGGGAGTGGGGGTAGAGAACTCAACTATATCTAAAAACCAGTAGAGCAATTATCTCAATGCAAAACTTGGGCACATGGCTTTAGAGGTGACATAGGCGCTCAGCAGGTGCTGATGAGCTCAATATAACATGGCCACTAGTTCATGGTCCTGTTTGGCTTGTCTTGGTCAGGGCTTAAGCCCTTAGCATGGGATTCTCTCAAGTTTTGGGGCTTATTCCATAACATATCTTACTTTCTGCTCATTTCATGTTGTGGCAAAGTCAGATGATCATAAGCCTTTGCCCAAGTTATGAGGTCATCGTGTGTTGATATCCCATGCTCATTGGCTGTTGATGTTATTTTGTTGCTGTTATTCCATAACACATTCTAGCAGGCCTTTGGCTCCTAGTATAGGATTCTCCCAAGAGTTTTTGGACTTGACTCTAGAATACATCTTAGACCGTGAGCTCCACAAGGTCAGGAATCAAGTCTGCCATGTTCAATGTTGCAGTTCCAACACTGACATTTCCTGGCCCTTCACAGTGAAAGGGAGAAATAAGAGCAATAAAAATCATCCAAATTAGCCCTGGCCGCTTACTATTAAAAACCAGCTTCAGGGTCAGGAGTGCTGGCTCATACCTGTAATCCCAGCACTTTGGAAGGCTGAGGTGGACAGATCACTCTAAGTCAGGAGTTCAAGATCAGTCTGGCCAACGTGGTGAAACCCTGTCTCTACTCATACAAAAGTTAGCTGGGCGTAGTGGTGCACAACTGTAATCCCAGCTACTCAGGGAGGCTGAAGCACAAAAATTGCTTGGACCTGGGAGGTGGAGGTTGCAGTGAGCTGAGATCGTGTCGTCCAGCCTGAGTGACAGAATGAAACTGTGTCTCAAAAAAACCAAAAAGAAGACACGGGTGTATCACCTGAGGTCAGGAGTTCGAGACCAGCCTGGCCAACATGGTGAAACCCTGTCTCTACTAAAAATACAAAAATTAGCCAGGCATGGTGGTGGGTGCCTGTAATCCCTGCTACTCAGGAGGCTGAGGCAAGAGAATCGCTGAAAGGCAAGGTTGCAGTGAGCCAAGATGGTGCTACTGCACTCCAGCCTGGGCAACGGAACAAGACTCCATCTGAAAAAAAAAATACAAAAACAACAATAACAACAACCAACCAGCTTCAGCTTCAGGAACCTCACATGCTAATCTGCAGGGGGAGGAGGAAGAAGAGTGTCATCTTTCAAAGTCCTAATTATTCCTTCTAAATGCTCAGCTGACAATGATACTTCACATAGGCATAGCACATTCACTTTAACCTCATGTTAAATCTACATACTTGATAGCAAAGGCATTTTAACTCTGATTTACAAATAAGGACACTGAGACCAAGGAATGGCCTCAGTTGGCATGGGAAAATCACAAATGGATAGATGGGGGATGGAATCGTTGCCATACATGGCATGTCTGCAGCTTGACAACGCTTCCTGTGCATAGCAGAGACGACAATCACCCAAGCACGACACCAGGACCCACTTCTTTCCTCTTTTGTTCCTCCTCCCAATCTCCTCACAACTTTCAGGGTCCCCACTGACATTGAATGGTGGCCATGTGTTGCCAGCTGGAGTAGCCGTCACCTGCCTTGAACTTGCAGTTCCCCCGGAGGTGAGGGCAATGTGGAGCTTCCTCTGAAGTCATACCTACCCATCACTTACCAACAGGAATTCATTGCTGAATGGTCAACTGCTGAGCGAAAAGCCATTAAACCAAAAAATACTTCCATTCATTGTAATAGGAAAATTATGATGCATTCTATCCCAAACTAAGATAAGCAAACACAGATAGGAAAATGTACTCATTGAACTTAATTGTGCATTTTCAAATAACTGAAAGACTGCCATTGGATTGTTTGTAACACAAAGGATGAATGCTTGAGGAGAAGGATACCACATTCACCAAATGATTATTTCACACTGCATGCCTGTATGGAAACATCTCAGGTACCCACAAATATATACACCTACTATGTACCCACAAAAATTAAAAAGTAAAAAAATTAAAATCAGTAATTTTAAAATGTATTACTTGAACAATGAAAACAAGTCTACAAAAGTAATATATTGTCAAAATACTAAAAATAAACATATTTTGCGTAACATAATGTAATGAAGGTTTCTTTTACTCACCAAATGAATGAAGGAAAATGTGAGAGTGGCTGGAACTGACAGGAAGGGCTGTGGGAGAATCAGTCATTATAAGGTACATTGTTCATTCTGTGCCATTTTCTGCATCACTTTTTAAATCCTTTTAGGAGATGATGATTTTCTTGCCCTCAAAATAAACCACACTTAAAGTAGCACAGTAAAAAAACCAAACAAACCCTTTAGGGCAAAATAAAGAAGTTCACAGCACAGGGAAATAATCGGTGCTCACAGGACTAACGCAGGGGTCTGCAAACAAGAGTACATGGGCCAAATTTGGCCCACTGCCTGTCTTTGTAAATAAAGTTTTTTTATTTTTCAACTTATTATTATTTTTTTTTTTTTGAGACAGGGTCTTGCTCTTTTGCCCAGGGAGTGCAGTGGCATGATCTCGACTCACTGCAAACTCCACCTCCCAGGTTCAAGCCATCCTCCTGCGTCATCCTCCCGAATAGCTGGGACTAAAGGTGGCATGCCACCACACCCAGCTAATTTTTGTATTTTTAGTAAAGATGCAATTTTCTCAGGTTGTCCAAGCTGGTCTCGAACTCCTGGCCTCAAGTGATCCATCAGCCTCAGCCTCCCAAAGTGCTGGGATTACAAGCATGAACCATCATGCCTGGCCTGTAAATAAAGTTTTAATGGAACAAGGTCACATCTATTTGTTTGTAGATTGTACATAACTGCTTTCATGCTACAAGAGCAAACTTAAGTAGTTTTGCAACAGAGACATTTTGGCCTTCAAAGCTTAGAATATTTACTCTCTGGCTCTTGACAAGAAATGTTTACCAACCTCTGCACTGAAGAGTAGCAAGAGATGCCACCGCTTCACCCCATCTATATGGCACATATACACAAAAGAAACTGTTTATCCACACTTGACCTGTGACTCAAAACTGTTCCATTTCAGATTCTCTGAACAGAAACTGTTGTGTCAGGGAAATTGGTGAATGTGTCTTTGCCTGAAACTGTAATATTGAAACTATGATTTCAATATTATGATTTAGCATACGATTTAGTGTGCTTGGGAGTGAAAAGTCTTTATTCTGGAAGAAAGAGGAGGGGCGTTATTTTAATTTTTACTTCTCTAGAGCTGTGAAAATTAGTTAAGTGGGTCAGGCGTGGTGGCTCAAGCCTGTAATCCCAGCACTTTGGGAGGCTGAGGTGGGGGGAATCACCTGAGGTGGGGAGTTTGAGACCAGCCTGACCTACATGGAAAAACCCTGTCTCTATTAAAAATACAAAATTAGCCGGGCATGGTGGCGCATGCCTGTAGTCCCAGCAACTCGGGAGGTTGAAGCCGGAGGATCGCTTGAGCCTGGGAGGCAGAGGTTGCAGTAAGCCGACATCGTGCCATTGCACTCCAGCCTGGGCAACAAGAGCGAAACTCCATCTCATAAAAAAAAAAAAAGAGAGAGAGAAAATTAGTTAAGCAAAAAGTTATTATGCAAGGTAAGTCTGTTAACAGTCTGCTCTACACCCAATTGTTTCAGTTAAGAACATTCAGGACCACCTTGGCCATTCACTGGATCAACTGATGAATCAACAGAAGTTTCTTGAGCATTTCTCAGGTGCCTAGCCCTGTGCAGACCCTTGCAAAGCAATACCAAGAAGCCATGCTGGAGGTTCTGGACTGGTCAACTGGACGCAGGGATGAAAATACTGTATGTGAAACCCGACTTGGCCACATACCCCTAAAGCATGCAGGCCTGGCCATTAAGGGTAGTCAGCAGTGCATTTGTTGGAAAGACTTCCAGAAGGAGCACTTGCAAGAATGGGCAGCTTGCAGGACAAAAGGAAGGCTTCCAAATGGGCCTAGCCCACTCCCCCAAAGACGGGACTTGCCTGGGCATTACCACTCTCCCTGCAGGACTCACAGGTACAATGATTTATCCCAAGGTAACCGAATCCTGCAACAACGGCCCAAGCTGCTAACTGGCTGGCATGACAGCTGAAGCTGTCTTTATGCTAGACATGAGTGCATCTGGTCATTATTTGGATGCTCAGGG